AGTGCTGGAATTAAAGGCATGCACCACCACACCCAGCCCAGGATTTTTAGTGTTAACTCCTGTTTTGTTTGGAGATTTTGGGGACAGATTCTTACTGTGTAGCCCTGGCTAGTCTGGAGTTCACTATGAAAACCGGGCTGGTCTCACACTCGCTATGATCCCACTGTCTCTGCCTCCTAAGTGCTGATATTACAAACATGCTCTACCACAGCTGTTTTTAGACTTAATGTTTTTTTCTTTTTAAGGTTTATTTATTTATTATGTATGCAGTGTTCTGTCTGCATGTATGCCCACAGGCCAGGAGAGGGCACCAGCTCTCATTGTAGATGGTTGTGAGCCACCATGTGGTTGCTGGGAATTGAACCCGGGTCCTCTGGAAGAACAGCCAGGGCTCTTAACCTCTGAGCCATCTCTCCAGCCCTTGTTTTGTTTTGTTTTGTTTTTTCTTGTTTTTTTTTGAGACAGGGTTCCCAGTTTGGAGCCTGTCCTGGATCTCACTCTGTAGACCAAGCTGGCCTTGAACTCACAGAGATCCGCATGGCTCTGCCTCCCGAGTGCTGGGATTAAAGGTGTGTGCCACCACCGCCCCAGCTTAGACTTAATGTTTTGTTTTGCATTGTAATATATACTTGTAATCCTGACACTAGGAAGGCTAAGGCAGGAGGATTTCAAGTTTAATCTCAGCTTTGTTAGTCTACACATTGAAATATTACCTTAAATAACCAGCCAACCAACCAACAAATAAAGACCTAATATTTCATCAGAAGTGTGTTCTATAAGAATGTAAGCTCTGCTGGGTGGTGGTGACGCCCTCCCTTAGTCCCAGGAGGCAGAGGCAGGTGGATCTCTGTGAGGTCCAGGACAGCCAGGGATATACAAAGAAAGTCTGTCTTGAAAAACCAAAACCAAAGAAAGACACATGAGCTTTGGAGTTCCTGCTCGACCCTTTAGCGGCCCTGTGAGCTTGGGCAGGAGGTTCCGTACGGACTCTTGACTCTCTTTTCTGCTGTTAATAAGGGTTTGCCTCAGGGTTGTTAGAAAGACTAGCTGAGGTATTATTTCTTTCTGTCTTTTGAGGGGACGTTGAGACCGAGTCTCGTGTAGCCCAGGCTAACCTCAAATCTGTTGTGTAGCCAAGGCTCCTCTGGAGCTCCTGATTCTCCCTTCTTCACCTCCCACGTGGTAGGCGCCACCACACTCAACTGAAGTGATATTTCTTGAAGAGCCTTGCCCTGCTGTACTTTTTTTTTTTTAAACAATGCTGGGAATTGAACTTAGGGCCTCACACATATTCTACCACTGATCTGTATCCCTAGCCATACCAGCTTTTTTTGTGTGTGTCTTTTTGAGACAGAGTTTTGCTTATATAGTAGCCCAGGCTGGCCTGGCTTCAAGTTCATGATGCTGTTCCCACATTAGCCTTCCGAGTAGCCTTTTTCTAATGTGAGGCCAAGAGAGTGTGGAGTCTCAGTTAAGGTAACTGTGCTTTTCTTGTCTTCCAGGTCGCTTTAGAGAGCTCCCCAGCTCCGGAGAATGAGCACTCTCAAGGTACGTGTATCACGAAGTCAGCTGAGGAAAGGAGTCCACATGTGAGAGCCGTAGCCTGACCTTGTCTTCGGCGATCCTTTTGAATGTCTAGGGAAAGAGGCAGGATGTCTGGGGATGTGGCTCAGTGGCAGAGCACTTGCCTAGCATGTGGGCAGCCATAGGTTCAAGCCCCAGCCACACAAATGAATGAAAGAATCAATTTGCCACTTCTCTGGGAAAGGATTTGCCTGGAAGCACTCTTATTTTTCCTAAGAATTTTACCTTTATTGCGTTAGACACACATTTTCCCAAAAGATTAAAATACAGACTGAGTATAAATTTCAAGAGATCATGTAGTGGGGCTGGAGAAATGACTCGGTTCCGTGTTTTAAGAGCATGTCCTATGCAATCCTGAGGACTGGAGTTCAGATCCCATAGCCTTAGGTGTTCCACGTAGCCTGTAGCCCAAACTCCAGGGGAGTTCGAGACAGAAGGATCATGGGGACTTGCTGGTTGTACCTTGACAGTGAAAACGAGTTCCAGCTTCAGGGAGAAACCCTGCCTCCGAGGAATAGGTGGAGGATGATAGAGAATGACACCCGATACCTTCTTCTAGACCCCACAAAGGAACAGCACTTGATTATACTCTCTATGTCAACAATTTTCGGTTTCTGTGAGTCTTACTATTTAGATCTTGGCCCTCCTACACAGAACCTTTCAGATACTTAGGATATACACACACACACACACACACACACACACACACACACACACACACACACACACACGTATATATCTATTTTAGATAACAGGGTCTTGTGTAGCCCAGGCTGAGCTTAAATTTGATTTGTAGCTGTGCTGGACAGTTTTATGTCAACCTGACTCAAGCTAGAGTCATCTCAGAGGAGGGAACCTCAACTGAGAAAATGACTCCGTAAGATCGGGCTGCAGGCAAGCCTGTAGGGCATTTAATTAGTGATTCATGTGGGAGGGACCAGCCCATGGTGGGTGGTGCCATCCCTGGGGTCCTGAGTGATCTAAGAAAGCCATGTTGAGCAGGCCAGTAAGCAGCTCCCCTCCATGGCCTCTGCATCAGCTCTTGGCTCTAAGTTCCCTCCTGGTTTGAGTTCCTGCCTTGGTTTCCCCCAGTGGGCTGTCGGTCACAGTGTGTCACCACAGTGACAGAAACCCTAAGACAGTAGTTGAAGATGGCTTTGAACCTCTGATCATCTTGTCTTCCACCCCCTAAGCACAACGATGCCAATTTTCAGGGCTGGAATTGAACCCAGGGCTTTGTGCACACTAGGCAGGTGTTCTGACAACTGAGGTACACCCCAGCCTGGAATCCCTTTATAGATTTTAAAAGATGTTTTGTTTGTTTATGTCTATGTGAGGTTTTTTGTCTGCATGTATGTCTGTGTACCACATGTGTGCCTAGTCCCTGTAGAGGCCAGAAGAGGGTGTTGGATCCTGAGACAGAGTTAACAGGCAGTTGTGAGCTACCATGTAGGTGCAGAGAAATGGCCCTGAGTCCTCTGGAAGAGCAGCCAGTGTCTTCTGAGTCATCTCTGCAGCCCCCCCCCCAAGCCCTCCCTTTTTAAAAATGTCTTTTACCTGTTTGCTGATGAAATGTTCTTTTACCTGAGTATATTATATTGTTATCGAGGTTTTGTTCTGTGTACAGGTTCCCTGTACTTTTACCTGAGTATATTATATTGTTATCGAGGTTTTGTTTTGTGTACAGGTTCCCTGTACCTTCCTCCAGTCATCCATTTGTTTGTTTCCTTGTACTATGTTTGGTGTGGGGGACAATGTGGGTCACTATTTTACACTAAAAAATTATTTTACGTGTATGAGTGTTTTTTGCCTGCCTGCATTGTCTGTGTATCGTGTATGTGCTGATGCCTGTGGAGGTCAGGAGAGGGTGTTGGATCCTCTAGAACTGGAGTTACAGATGCTTATGAGCCACCATGTGTGGATGCTGAGAACTGAACTCCGGTCCTCTGTGAGAACAAGAAGCCATCTCTCCACCCCTACACCTTTTTAGATGCTTGTGAATCCTTGGTTTAAACAAAATTCAGTGGGAAAGCTCTTGCTTTTGAAGTGTGAGGACTGGAGTTTGGATTTCCAGAACTCAGGTAAACGCTGAGCAGGTATGGCCTGTAATCCCAGCACTCAGGAGTCAAAGATGGCTCCCCAGAGCAAACTGTTGTCCAGACTCGTAAAGACTACGGAGACTGCTCAGTAAATGAAGTAGAAGGAGAGTGATTGATCAAGGAACACACCTAACATCAAGCTTGAGTTTCCACACACACATGCATATGCACAGACATTCACATGCATACGTGGGAAAAACAGGGTTCCAGCAACACACTCAGATGTACAGAAACACAACATTTTAAAAAAGAGGTCGTCAGCTGGGCAGTAGTGGTGCATGCCTTGAAGGGAGGCAGAGGCAGGTAGATCTCTGTGAGTTGGAGGCCAGCCTGGTCTACAGATGAATTCCAGGACAAACAAGGCTACACAGAGAAACCCTGTTTCAAACAGCAAAAAAAAAAAAAAAAAAAAAAAGCCCAGTATCCAAGAAAATCCAAGGACATATTAATAAGACTTCTGTGAGTTTTTGACAAGAATTTTAAGTTGTTCTGTTTTATTGGATTAAAAAAAATCAGCTGGGTAGTGGTCTTGCATGCCTTTAATCTTAGCACTCAGGAGGCAGAGGCAAACTCTGAGTTTGAGACCGGTCTGGTCTACAGAGTGAGTTCTAGGAGAGCCAGGGTGACAGAGAAACCCTTTGTCTTAGTTAGGATGTCTATTGCTGTGGAAAGACACCATGACCACGGCAACTCTTTTTTTTTTTTTTTTTGGTAATTAATTAATTAATTTATTTTTATATTATCAGCTTGATACAGTACAAATTCTTATCCTAATAGTGAAATGTTTCATCGAGGCTTGCCCAGTGATTGAGTAAAACCAAAACTTATTATAAGCCACAGTCATCCTAGGGTCCCCCCTGCTATGTAGCCTCCCTGGTTCTGTGGGTTGCAGTCTGATTGTTCTTTGCTTTATATCTAGAATCCACTTATGAGTGAGTACATACCATATTTGTCCTTCTGGGTTTGGGTTACCTCACTCACGATGATATTTTCTAGTTCCATCCATTTGCCTGCAAATTTCATGCTGTCATTGTTTTTCTCTGCTGAGTAGTACTCCATTGTATATATGTACCACATTTTCTTAATCCACGGGCATCTAGGTTGTTTCCAGGTTCTGGCTATTACGAATAATGCTGCTATGAACATAGTTGAGCATGTGTCCTTGTGGTGTGATTGAGCATTCCTTGGGTATATGCCCAAGAGTGGTATGGCTGGGTCTTGAGGTAGATCGATTCCCAATTTTCGACCACAGCAACTCTTATAAAGGAAAACATTTAATTGGGCCTGGTTTACAAGTCAGAAGTGTAGTCCATTGTCATCATGGCAGGAAGCATGGTGGCATGCAGGCAGACGTGGTGCTGGAGAAGGAGCTGACAGTTCTACATCCTGATCCAAAGGCAGCAGAAAGAAAGAGAGCCACTGGGCCTGGCTTGGAGTTTTGAAACCGCAAAGCCTACCCGCAGAGAGACACGTCCTCCAACAAGGCTACCCCTGCTCCAACAAGGCCACATCTTCTAATGCCACTCCTTAAGCATTCAGCTTGATTCTATGGGGGCCATTCTTATTCAAACCACCACACCCTCCCTGTCTTGAAAAACAAAAAACAAATCAGTGTCATTGTAGGCTACATCATCTAGATGACTTTTCATCATTGAATACTGCACATGATATCAATGCCTGTTGTGTGTTTCTGAGTACATCTGTGGTAGCTCCAAGGCAGGCAGCAGAAACTCAGTTTATGTGGATGAAGCAGATGAGGTGGACTAAATATGACAAGCAACAACTTATAAATCTTGTGTCCCACTTAAAAGGAGACAGCAACTATCTATATCTGCTCAATTAAGACCTATTTTTGCCAGATCTCATTTTTGTAAAGAAACTGAGAATTTGGATTTTTATGTAAATTTGTAGAGTTTTTAAATTTGGAAAGTGATTTAAATTATTTTTAAAACTGGGAAATCCAAATTCAATACGCGTGTGGGCTTCTGACTTATAATGATAGCATCTAACTCTGTGTAGTATATCTTCGGCTGGTGTCTAAGGCTGTCTTGGTATCTGTGAGTTGGGTTTTCATGTTTGAGAAACAATGGAAGTCTTCCAGTTACCATGGTAGGTTGAGTGCCTACATCCACCTTCAGTCCTCCTTTGAGAAACAGAGCAAAGGGCTCAGAGATAGCTCAGCCATTAAGAACGCACTCTCCTAGAGGACCTGGTTTCCTACCTCCAATGGCAGCTCACAAGGTCTTGTCTGTAATTCCGGTTCCCGGGGATCTGATGCCCTCTTCTGGCCGCCACAGGGACTGCATGAACATAAAATCAAAATCAAAATCCTGGGCTGATGAGGCTCAGCAGGTAAAGCTGCTTGCCGTTCGGGCCTGGCAACCCGAGTTTGATACCCAAACCCTCAAAAGGTGGGAGGGGAGAACCAGCTGCACAAGGCGGTCCTCACACGCCTTGGCATGTGCACATGTATGCATGCACACACAACTACCCTAGAGGACTTTTTCTTTTTTAGTACAAACCTACAAAAATAAGAACAGGGGAGAGAACTGTAGAAATGGGTTGTGGAGCCGGGCGGTGGTGGCGCACGCCTTTAATCCCAGCACTCGGGAGGCAGAGGCAGGCGGATCTCTGTGAGTTCGAGGCCAGCCTGGTCTACCAAGTGAG